TTCCTCGGAGCCTTTAATATATGAGTAAACCTTGTGCTTTTCCAAGAGGGAGATATGATATGCAATGGTCGCCAAACATGTTTGAGCAAGACACTCTTTTTTCATAGCAACTCTTGAAAGGAGTGTTTTTTGGAACACACCCTGAGAACACTGGATGCGGGAAGTGTGAAAAGATAGAGGCCGTGCACAGAGGATTGCAATAGGCATGCCCAGATGCAAAAAGAAATAAAAGCATTTAGCATGGTGGTCAGAATGGAGAGTGCCTTGAAGTCAGCCAGTCAAGTTCATGTTCAATTCATTGGATAGCAGCTGGGGTGAGACTTGAGCTTGAAAGTGCTAGTTTGCTTGAACTGGTACCTTCAAATGAGGTTTTGACCATAGCATATAGAAGAGTTTGAAGAGGATGATAAAGGAACAAAGCCCATGAAAAGATTTAATCAGTTATGGTTTAGAAGTAGGAGTACAGATTTAAAGCAAGAGACAAAGACTCATATCTGAAAGGAACACTATGAGCCAGAGGTTGGCAAACTACAGCCTGGGAGCCAAATCTGCCCACAGCCTGAGCTAAGAATGGTATTTAAATTTTTCAACGATTGGGGGAAAAATCAAAAGAATGATAATGTTTTGTCACATAAATATTATATTAAATTCAAATTGCAGTGGCCATAAATAAATTTCATTGTTCTCATCAGTGAGCCAGTATTACAAAAAATTGTATTCAAGTGTTATTATATTTTGAATTTCATCACTTACAATATATGAAATGTTTTTCTCATTTTATATAAGCTCCTATATAATTTTCAGTTTTGCCTTTTGGCCCACAAAGCCTAAAATATTTACTCTCCTGCTCCTTTAAAGAAACATTTTGCCAGCCTCTGTGCTAGTTCACTTGCCCTTAGTTTACTGAAACTGAAGCTCAGAATGATTTGCTCAAAGTCTGAAGCTTCCGAATGATGGATCTGGAATGGAACCCAAGTGTTCCAGTTCCTACTCTAGTGCTCTTTTTACTGCATCTTATCTGTATCAATCCAAGTGATATTACATAGGAAGCAGGGGCGTGTGTGGGTGGGTATAGAAGACAGGAGAGGAAGAGGCAGCATCTATTTCTATCCCAGTGCCAAAGTATAATTGGATTCTGATGGCATTGAATGTGATGGAGAAGCACAAGGAGAGGGAAAGGATTTAATAGCTTCTCTCACACCTTTAAAACCACTCCAATATCTAGGTTTTCTGACTTCTCCATTTCTGTATTTATTGCATTTTTTTAATAAACTCAAAAATTTCTAGTCAGAAGATGAATAATGTGGAAATTCCTCCTGAAGATTATTTATGTGGCAGGCCTTGTTGTTTTTGACATCACTACTTAAAATAAGAAATATTCAGCTTTGTTTCTTGAAATGATTGGATTTTACGGATTTGGTTAGCATGTCCTGAGATAGCATGTGTCAATGGCCAGAAAAGAAAGAAATATGACATTGAGAAGGATTCTGAAGTAAGGTCCCAGCCTCTGGGAAACTGGAGTATTTCATTACCAATGTCAGCCATAGGTACAGAAAGAGAAACATCCTTCCTTTGGTGTTCTGGGGGCTCCAGTACATTTTGCTGAAGATATTTGGTTGCCTGAGGATTCTAGGATACAGAGTGATATTGTAGCCATTAGTTTTTCTTTTTTTGTTGTTGTTTATTTTATAGTTTATTATATGTATACATTATAGTTTATCTTATAAAATGATTCTGTTTCTAACTTTGTCATCTCCCTGATAGTCTATAAATGTTTCTTTTGATTTTTGAAAAGAAATCAGTGGTCCACTAACAGCAATCCCCAAACTTTTTGGCACCAGAGACCGGTGCCCCTATGAGAATCTAATGCCTGGTGATTTGAGATGGAGCTGAGGTGATGATGCTAGTACTGGGGAGCAGCTGCAAATACAGATGAAGCTTCTTTTGCTCACTTCCTGCTGTGCAACCTGGTTCCTAACAGGCCACAGACCTGTACCGGTCCACGGCCCAGGGATTGGGGATCCTTGCACTAAGGTAGTTCTTTCCTTTCTGGCTCATGTATTACATAGTCTGAGAAGGAGCGTGCTGAATGAATTCAGTATAAGTAAATGCTCTACAGACCCTTTTTAAAAAATTTATTGGCCCAGACAAAATGTATTCATTGTTCTTATTAGCTTTGAGGCAAACATTTTTTTAAAGGTGTAAGCAGATTTTTTAGTATAAGATTGCAGAGTTGAAAGAAAGTCTCGAGTCTCTAACTCAGCTCCCCTGTCTCTTTTAGCAAAATTGAATTCGAGTAGGTGACTTAAGGTCCTATGCCTTAGCTGGGTGCAGATTCTGAGAGCAAGCTCCAGAGATGGACACTTGGCTCTCAGAAGGTGGTACCGGTAACCACAGCCCTTAACTCACTTTTATGACAGCAACACAGACATGTTAACAGCGGACCCTAGAGGCTCAATCCCATTGCCTTGTAAAATCGCTCTCCTGTATTGGGGGCTGAGAAATTGCTAAAAGTACAAATTCGGAGTTTTAAAAGATGACTGTGAGCAAATGGTATTGCTGTTAGCCAGACAAGAGGAGAATGAGGGCAACAGCTTCAGGGTATTCACCCACTAGGAAATCACTCCAGTTAAAGCAAGATATTTGCTAGAGAATATGGAAGCAGACTAAAGAAGGGAGATGCGAGATACCCATTTGCAGCTGTGATTATGGCTCTTCCTCATAGCACCGATTACAGACTATTTGTGTAATTGTTTAATGTTGCTCTCTCTCATTAGTCCACTGCTTCTCAAATGGGGGCAGCTTTGCCCCCCAGGAGATATTTGCCTCAAGACATATTTGGTTGTCACAACTGGGGATGGGAGTGGCACTGGCACTTAGTGATTGGAGACCAGGGATGCTGCTAAACATCCTACAATGCACAGGGCACGCACCACAAAAAGAATTATCCTGTCCAAAATGTCAACAATGCCAAGGTTGAGAAACTGTGCATTAGACTACGATTCTTTTTTTTAAAAAAATGATTGTTTTAAATTATAGTTGGCATATAATATTATAGTTTCACGTATACAACATAGAGATTAGACATTTATATAACTTATGTAGTGATCACTCCAATAAATCTAGTACCCACCTGACAACATACATGGTTATTACAGTATTACTGACTGTATTCCTTATGCTATACTTTATATCCCCATGACTATTTTGTAACTAGCAATTTATACTTCTTAATCCCTTCCCCTTTTCCACCGCTGCCAAACCCTCTCATCTGATAACCATCAAAGTGTTCTCTATATCTATGAGTTTGTTTGTTCTTTTATTTTGTTCTTAAGAATCCACATACAAGTGAAATCATATGACATTTGTCTTTGTCTGACTTACTCTACTCAGCACAATACTCTCTTGGTCCATCCATGTCGTTGCTAATGGCAAGGTTTTATTCTTTTTTATGACTGAGTAATATTCCATTGTATACATGTACCACCTCTTCTTCATCCACTTATCCATTGATGGACACCCAGGCTGCCTCCATTTTTTGACTAGTGTAAATAATGCTGCAATAAACATACGGGTTCACATGTCCCTTCCAAGTAATGTTCTAGGCTTCTTCAGATATATACCCAGAAATGAGATTACTTGGACCTTCTTTGTCTCTTGTTATACCTTTTGTTTTAAAGTCTTTTGTCTGGTATAAGTATTGCTACCCCAGCTTGTTTGTTTGTTTCCATTTTCATGAAACATCTTTTCCTATCCCTTTATTTTCAGTCTATGTGTGTCTTTCAATCAAAGTGAGTCAACAGTGTCAGTGGTGCCAAGGCTGAGAAAACTGTGCAATAGACTAAGGTACTTAAAGACCCATCTGTCTTGCTCAGCACTTATCCCAACACCTAGCTGGAATCCTGACATAAAAAGGAGGCTGTCAGCATGCATTTATGAATACAGATGAGCCACATCTCCACCCTTTTTAGCTGGTTTTTCTAAGTCTTTGCTTAGGCACCAACAGGCGCACTCAACCCTGAGCACATTTCACAGGACTGATAGTTTTCTCCAATTCCACGTCATTCTCCCTAATTCCGAGCTGCAGGTGTCTGATGAGAAAAGGCTGCTTTAGAAAGTTGCATTTCTTCTGTCTCTCATATCTCTGCCATATCTCTCTATTAAAATCTACACACGTGTGGTTTTGCATCTGCATTCTTGAGAAGGGAATGAAATAATAGGGTAGATATTTTTCCTTTGCTTATACCTAGTATTCTGGTGTACAGTGATGAGCCATATTGAATGCTGGTCTTAGCAACGGTAATAATTAGGTTTATTTTCAAGGATATCAGTAGTGAGTGTATGTGTAGATGATGGAGGAGAAGGGAGTTTCCAACATAATGAGCATTTTTGAATGCAGTATGACTTCTTTATATAGAGAATGTTTATCCTCTTAAGGAGATCGTTCTGGATGGCCCTGGATGTTCCAGCAAAGAGCTGGCTCAGTGGGGCTGCGTTAGCTCATCAGAGGAGCAGGCTGAGCACCTCTAGAATGCCTCTTTCATCCTGTTTCTAACAAAGCGACTTCTTGAACCAAGAAGACTACATGGTTTTAGTTGCAAAGATGCCCCGCCTCTGCCTACATGAATATGTGGCATATTATAGGGTGTGTGTGCGCAGTCCTGCTCTGCCTGGCTGAACCTCACCTCTCAGTGGCGTGGTAATAGTTGAGGCCCTTGTGCATGCTCAGCTCTCTTCTGGGTGTCTTGTCCCAATAAATCCTATTTCATATATACACTGTGACTCCCATAGAAATTCACATGCAGCCTACGCACCAGAACCTGCAGTTCAGTTGAGCAGCTCTAGGAGTGGACCTAATTGCAGGCTATTTATCCTTTTATTACATTATTTTTTCTGTTATATGATTGAATTGAACCTGCCAAAAAGCAGGAAGAAGGGTAAATACTCTGTAGAGGGCAATGAGATGTACATGTATATGTTATCATATCTTATCTCTGCTTCCGTTGACTTTTTTTTTTTAACAGAATAAATTTTCTAGTGCATACTGCGAAACCCTAAAAAAAAAAAGCTTTGTGTCTTTTTTCAGGATGTTTTTGAGGATGTTGCTCATTACATTAAACAGTAAATTCTTTATGAGGACTCTTGAGAGTAATTTATTTCTGATCTAGGACTCAAGAATAATTATGATTCTCCTGAGTTACTGGTTTGTTTATCTTAGGGACAATGAGTATGTAACTGATTAGATTTTCATTGAGAACCACTTATTAGAATGTTTAGAGTCAAATTCGTTGCCCACCCTTACATAGCAAGGGTTTTTAAATTTATGATACCCTCGGTCATAACTCCACGTCAGGATGTTCTTAGTATTTCCTTTATCTTTTCATCTATGTCAAATTTATTACCATTGTTTTATGTATCCCTGTAAACATCCAGAAATGTTTTTGGGAAAAGGTAGTAGGGCATGTATATAAGTAAATATATTATCATAGGCCATCAAAAAACAGTTTTATTGGCTTCTTTTTTTCCCTTTCCAGATTGAGATGCTACCAGATGGGCTGTTTCAGTGCAAAAAGCTGCAGTGTTTACTTTTGGGGAAAAATAGCCTGATGAGTCTGTCGCCCCACGTGGGTGAGCTGTCGAACCTCACTCATCTGGAGCTCATTGGTAATTACCTGGAAACGCTTCCTCCCGAACTGGAAGGGTGTCAGTCCCTAAAACGGAGCTGCCTGATTGTCGAGGAGAATTTGCTCAGTACTCTCCCTCTCCCTGTAACAGAACGGTTGCAGACGTGCTTAGATAAATGTTGACCTAAAGAGAAAATAACTTTTAAAAGTAAGCCCCAGGGCTTTAAATGAGAACTAAAATTTCCAAAATTATAAAGATTGACAAAATACAGAATAATTATGACTAACTCTAACCAAATGTCTTATTAAAGCAACTCAGTGTCTGGCCCTAAATTCAACAGGTAAAAAGTGTTAACACTGAACTGAAGTTTTGTGAATAATTGATCTTGTTGAGATATAAGAAGTACACTTTGAGGGTGGAATGGGGGACATGAAATTATTGAATCTCTACCTTGCAGTTTTCACCTTGAAGATTAGATAATTTTTCTTCTCTCTCCGTAGTCCCTAGTACTTATCTGCACACTGTTTTAACTGACATCCAATTAGAATATTTATCACCTAGACCCTACACTCATCAATATAAATTTCATCGATGTATACTCAGCACTGTCTTTGATTTGTGTTCTTAAATATTTTAAGGCAGGGTGCCTTGTGCTTGGCAGAATTTCTTCTTGGCTTTTTACTTTCTGTCCTAGCTTGCTCGAGTCTTCCTTCATCTGCTTTTCTCTTAACAACAGTGATGAACCCCGAGACAGTGCCTGCTTTTGGCCTTTGCATAGAACAGGAGCAGGGTATGTAGGACGTGTTACCCTCGGGGCATCCTGAAAATTAATGTATTCTCTAAAATTTCTTCTTGTATCATCAAAGCCTTTTTTATTTGCTAGTAACTTTTTATATTAAATGTAAAACATAAATGTTTTTATTGTATAATCTTGGATTTAAAATCTGTGGGAATAATTTTTGTAAGGTACAGAGAACACATGCATCTCTTTAAGAATTTACTATTAGTATACTTGGTTTTGGCTGCTTATGATTCTCATATTTGTGTTCATTCTCCAAAATGTTTTTGTACTCTGCAACTAATTACTTTTGGATAACTAAAGCCTTGTGTTTCGCACCCTAAAATATTTAGGGGGTTTCCTTATTAGAGGATGGCGCATCATCTACCTCTCTCTTCCCTTGTTGCTGTGCTTATTGTACGGGTACATTTCTTAATTACTTCAAAAACTGTGATAGAGGGGAGAGGTATGGATTTGGTTCTTTAAAATTGGTTTAAAAACACCTTGTAGAAATTAAGAGTTAAAGCAAAATATTTTTCTTCTCCACCCCCATGGTCTCTAGATATGACTATAATGCAAAACATTCAGCATCTATTCGGTGTTGAAGATGAATTCTCAAATCTCACAAAGAAATAGATCCATTTAACTGGAATTCATCTCATGCTTTTGTCTAACTTTTCTGGAATACATTTTGCTCTTTTTTTAGGAAGAGTTTTTGTGTTTGGCCTTTTATTTTGATACATATTGTCAAATGAATAAAATCAACTGACTCATTTTCAGGAAATGTACATTTTTAATGTGTTTTTCTCTGATGGGTCTAGGCACTTATGATGCCATCACATTTTGGAAGTAACTAAGTCGTCTACTAACCACACATAGACAAAACTGGAAAACTATGGGTAAAGAATACTGTAAACATGGAATTGTGATATGTGGTGTCTTGTTTTGTTTTGTTTGCCCATTTCAAAAAGGCCCATTTCAAAAAGGTGAAAGTAAGTATTTTAAATTATAACAAAATGTAGCTTCCCTCACCTGCCACATACCGCTGGACTGAAGCTCAAAGAAAAAAATCATTTGTGTCAAATAAAATTTGACTAATATTAGCTATAAAAATATAAAACACCAAAAGCTGCCTAAACCTTATTGTTTATTATAAATGAGAAGGAATGGTGTAAAAATGTAATTCTTACCAAAACTTGCCTTTAGTCAGAACATTCAAGTTCTCAGGGACCCAAGCATAACTGACAAAACTTTCTTCTAGGACATTAGAAAACAGATTCTGACTACATCTAGTGTTTTTTGTTATTTTCATTTTTTTAAATATGAGTTGATTTCATTTTAGTTTTTCACAATAAAATTGTCATAAGTATTGGTTCCAATGTTGGATAGGATTATTTTAAGTTTTGGACATGAGCATGATGCATGGAGAGGTGTCTAAATGTTTCTGGTCATATAATTAGTGATCATTTGTATGAAAAATGACACCTTCTTCTATAAAGAAGAGTTTTCAAAACAAATTTTAGATTGCTACCATTCTCCTGACAAACGAGAACTCCTTCAGGAGTAAAGACTGGTTTTGCTTACCTGCAAAAGTCATTGGCTAAAACTTCCTTATCACCTCTTTAAATTTCTGGAAGCCGGTTACTATCAGAATCAGTCATTGTAAGCTGCTTTCCAAACACTAGGGTTAAGTTACTGGTTCAAACTCTGTTCTTGATGCCATAGTTTCTAGATTTCTTTTTTATTTCGATCTTACACACCAGTGTTTAGGTAGCTTTTGAAATGCTATAGTACTGATGCAATGAACTCTGAGACCACCACTTGATATACAAAAATTTGGTGTTTGATGCCACCTTTACTGCATTATTGGAGCAGATCTTCATTTTGCAAGTGTTTGTTCATATTCATTTACGGAAATTTTAAATAAAGAAAATGAAATTCGTTCACTTATATTTATGAGACTTTAGTTGGCATTTGATTTCCAAAAATGTGTAGCGCATTTTCCAAAACATAAGTATAAATGTTATTCAGAACCAAGTTGATGGCTTATGCTAACAATGGCATTGGTTCATTTTATTTACATGCATGTACTCGCGCACACACAGACACACAGATGATTTTGCACACACACAGAGACACGCACCCTCCTATGTATTGTAAAATGTAACATTAGTATTGGATATTTGGATATTTTGGATATCAGTATTTTCTTCCAAAGTTGTAGATTAATGCTAGAATATTAATTCTTTTTTTTATTCATTACTTGTAATCATGGACTGATCTATTCTCTTAGTTATAATATTTAAAAGAAAACCGAACATTCAGCCTTAGTCTGAGAACCTAAGCAGTTTTGACCATTTCTAGTAAGCTGTAGTGTTCTTTCTCTAACCTACATCAGAGTACATGTATGTGGCACATACTATGTTTTCATTCTTCATCCTCAGTCTTAATTTTTTCCCCCAGATGTCACTATATTTCACTGTCACTTAACAAACGTTTTGTTAAACAGGGTAAATAGAAATCCTTAGAATCTCTGCACTGCGGCATAGCTCCAATTTGTGTGCTGCGGTGAGCTACAGTGAGTTATTTGCATAACATTATTGTATGATAGTGAAAATATTTATTTTTGTCCTTCAAGTGTTTCATGATTCAAATTTTTTATGTTTAATTAAAATACTGCATAATGTTGACGGGTTCCAAAACCATTAAAATAATCAAACAGCTGTTCTGTGGACTTATAGCTTCATTTCCTTGTATTTTCAGTAAAATGTTCTTTCCATCTTTATGTTCTCTTACCATCATCCTATCCACATAAGGTATTTTGTTTTCCCTCTCCACTCACCACCTCCTTAAATTTGATCAGCATTTTTATAGTAACAATATATTTGTGCTAGAGAACTTGCGTTGATACTCGAGCATATATTTATTTGGGGGGAAGCCAGAGCCTATAATTATGCCTAATGAAGTAGTTTTACTTGACCCATCCCTACAGTATTTAGGCCTGAGCCACTGCACTCTCATCCCTCCCAAAGCATGAGAATATAATTAAGTCCACTTCATTTTCAGGAACCGTATATTGCATCAGAAGCTGTGTTTATTTTTTTTCCAGGAAACAAGAGGAAGGCTGGTGGGGAAGGGGAGGAGTTATTTTGTATCCTGGTTTGAATTATGAAGATATTATATACACGAAATGGTATAAACTAATAACTTTTGCGAAATGCCCTGAATATAGTTATTTCTCATCTTCAGCCGGATATGAAAACTGAAGTAATGAAAAAACTAGTCCTGTTTAATTGCTTTCTTCCTGTTTCTGGTCCATCACTTCTGCATCCACTGGGAACTATCTACTAAGTACCTTTGGTAATGGACTATCTTCTCTTCAACATTTTTCTCACATGAACAATTTCATCAACACTAAAGCATTAACATAGAAAATTTGAGCCAAAATACTGGCTTCCAGTTGAACTTAATTCATATTTAAGTTTTACATTTGAACTTGTATAATACACTACTGCTGAGAAAAACAATTATGAATGCCTCCTGCATGTTATATATTATCTCTAACAGAGATGGTGCAATGTAAAAAATACAAAAGGGCATAGAATTAGAATGGATGTGTTTGTGCATATATGTGTTGTGTGTAAGCCTAAATGTTTATGTTTAAATATTTTTAATACTCTTCAAATGTCTCACTTTCAGTAAAATAATGGGCAATCTTAAGTAGAGACATTTTCTTTTGTTAGCTTTACAGTGAAGGCTAGCATTGGTTATTTTATTTTTGTCACATATTTTGAAACGTACATAACCAGTTTTTTTGCTTCCAGTAACAAATTATTTAAAGATGTAAGATTTTGTTGTGAGTTGAGTGTTTTTGGCCCTCAGGTTTACCATGTAAATCTGCGTTTTGGTGGTAAATCCCTTTGCCTGAGATTTGTTATTTTTTGGTAAACTTTACTGTTTTTAAAGTACATTTTGTGTAAAATAAAGATTCAATTTTTATAATAAATAGCAAATAAAAGCAGATTAAATGTTGGAAGAAGTTGACTGTACTAATTTTTACACGTGTACATTTAAAAGTGCCCAGATTCCAAAAGTGATTCTCATCCTCTTCCCACACTTCTCTTTGCAGTTGTATGGTTATATTATTTATTAAATGATAAATTTTAGGTTTACACATGAATTTCATAACAATAGTATGAGTTTTCAAAAACATGCTACAATGGTCACAAAATAGCAAGCCCCTGAAGAGAGCTGGATTGATCCTACAATATTCTGGGTTGGGGCGGGGGGCTGAAATCTGTCACTCTAATAGGTCTATCCAATAGTGTTCATCCTTGGGGACTGATGATCACAAATCAAAAAATCTCTCTTCTTAGCTTCCGTTTCTCTATTTACTGTTAGTTTAACTAAAACCTTAGCTTCCGTTTCTCTATTTACTGTTAGTTTAACTAAAACCGAATAGTGGACCAGATAAATAGAAAGTAATGAATTGTAAGACAAAATTATCAGAAAGTTTAATAAAGGGAGAAAAAATGGAATTATTAGGTAAAATAGACACATGATTGGTTAGCCCTTTGGACAGAAGACCTCTCTCTACCTCTACATCTACCTCTATCTCATATACACACGCACACACACTCTGGAAAACATTAGCGGATACCCAGATCTTTTCTCTGCTAGAGGACAACTTGATGTACGCTGCACCAGATTATTAAGGAAAGTACTGAAAACCAGATGGACATCTTTTTCCCTGGAAATGCGGTACTTCAAAAAAGGCTTTCGCTTTCCTTCACCTCTTAAGTGCCTTAGGAATGAGAAATAGACCAAAGAAATGAAGTCTGTGCCTGACTTAAGGCATTAGCAGCCGTTCAGGGACTGCTTGGTGCTTTGGGACGCTGGGATCTTGTGCTAACAGCCTACAGGGCAGTGACATGTCCCTGTGAGCGCGGCAGTAAGTGTGACTTCATGTCCTTCAGCATTCACTCTTCTGCATCACAAAATGGCTTTTCAAAAATGTGGTGAGGGCCTGGCTGTGAGGGAGAGACTGTCACCGCTGCCAGGAGCGAGAGCACCATTTGATTCTCTGGAACTGCATCTTGTGTTTGAGTTTCTGCCCCTTTCTCTGGATTCTCCGAAATTCTAGCTTGTATTCTCTGTCCATCTCATCTCTGAGGTCTAGAGAAAAGTGGTTTATCCAAAGGTGCAAAGTCAGACCTTGAACTCAAGCCCCGTATTTACAGAATATATATCTATCTACCAAAGAAGGATAAGAAAAAAAAAGTCATTTTTTAAAGTGTAGTCTTTTTAAAAAATACAAATCTCTCTTCACCCTGTTGCTTCATCATCCTCCAGAGTTATAAGTCCTGCCTCCTAAACACCAGGATTCTACAAAACTACCTGTGTGCTACTGAGAAGCCCTTTAAATTATTTCTTAAATACCTAAAGTTCGTGCCCTTTTTACACAGGCCTGTTTGTTGTGTACGGCTTAATGCAAGTCACTTTTTACTCTCTGCCTCCCTCTGCTGCTGAGAGGAGAATAAACCAACTAGGAGCTTACCAGCTTTTATTCCCTTATTCAGTTTCTCCTTGCCTTCCCTTTATCAAGTGCAGTATCCCCGCTCCCAAGATAAGATCTTGAGAATGCAATGACCCCCACTTAATCTTAGTAACTCCATCTCAAATGACATGCACTTAGCCCCATGCAATGCCTGGCACCAGGACCAGACCTGAGGTGGGTGTCCTGGGCAGACAAGAATGTAGCACCCTTTTTAAAAAAAAGCTTTGGGTATTTATTCAATATGTACGTGGTAGAGGTGAGGGAACTGGTTTTATATTAGTAAAAGTCATCAAGGTTTATATCAACTGTCTAAATATTCTCTTATCCAAAAACAAAACTGTCACAAGAGTGAGATAGAGCTTAGAGATGACTGAGCAGAGACAAGTAGAGACTGGAGGGCAAATGAAATTCCCACAGCTCATAGCATTTCTGTCAAACATCACAAGAGACAATCTCCCAGGTGTTATAAACAGACCTGTCAGTTGCTGGGTCTCCTTTCTCTTTCCCCCTGGAAGCACCCTACTCTCCCGGCCCCCACCCTCTTCCTTCCCAGATATCACTCTTTACTTCCTCCAATCTCCTTCTCTCTCCCTCCCTCCTCCTTTCTCTCCCTCCCCCACCCTTGCTGTGCTGTTTAGTGCTTTCCTAACCATGTACTCCAAGATTCTCCCTTCCTAAAAAGTAATTTCTTGTCATATTGTCAAATAAGAGACTTATTAAATGTGCTGACTGGGAGCAGGACCAATCTGCATTTCTTAGGATGGCCCCCTCAGAAATTGCATGTGGAAACCTGAGTTAACTGGTCCCCTATTTCCAGTTATTCCAATGACATTTGGTATTCCTTGTAAATTAGTACCCCAGGCAAAAGTTTTAGCACAGCAGGGGCCAAACGCCACCGTGTGGATTTTCCTTTTAGTCTTTCCCTGAACCAGGTTTGCATTCGCCTCCTTGTCTTATTGCCTCTATAGGGTACTTCATAGAGAAACTGCTCAGATCATTATTGGGAGAAGAGAGCAGTGCTGTCACCCTTTTCATAGTAGACTGAGCCAGTCTCAGGCAATTGCTCTGTAGAAAGGGAAGTCCTGGAGATGTAACCAAGGGAAAAAGAATTGATCCAGTCTGCGTTTAGAGGCCCGAGGAAAATTTGCTGGACTTGTGATACCTTGGCAGAATAATACATCACAAATCTCCTTAATGGCTTCAAATTAAGAATAGATTTTTGAAAATCTAATCATTTTTTCCATTCTCCTTCAGCTTGGAGCCTGTCACCGTAGGGGAAATAAAATAGTGGAATAAAACAATAACATTATCTAGCACTGCTATATATTCTATTAAGGTCTTTATGTGTGCTATCTCAGTCCATCCAACAACTTTATTTGGTGTGTTATTCTCATTTTTCAGGTGAAAAACAAAAATTATAACTTTCCAAAGGTCTCATGACTTCAAAAGAGGAATCGTATTCAGCCTACAGGTCTGCAAAGTTTATTTCTACCAATGTTTAGGGAATCAACACTTATCAGCACTTCATCCTCTCTCACCCACCTTGGTGTCTGAAGACTCACAGGTGACACTCTGGTTTTTAGAGTTCACTGGTCTCTTCCTGTCAGCTTTAAGCCCAGTGCTGCTTCCTGCTCTGCTCCATAGCTATCTTACTTTGTCTTCTCCTGAACCAATGAGTCACTCCCTATCCATTTTATCCCCCTCCTCCCCACTAATGTCATTCTATAATTGCAGAACTTTCCAGTTGGAAGGAACTATGGAGACCTTTCCGAAGGAAAAAGCCAAAGCAGCTTGTTTGCGATCACAAACCCACGGCTGAGGGAGATGGCATCTAAGTCTGCGCGTCCCCCTGTTGAGGGCTCTTTTCGCTCTTCTGGGCTGCCTGGGAGCACAGATCACCCACACGTACCCAAAGCCTGGTGGAAGAGCCAAGACCTGCACCCACACCTCCTCCCTAACTCCAGGTCCTTTGCATCTCTAACAAGCTGCGTTCATTTTAGTTATGTCCTGCATCTTGATAATAACCCCTGCCTGTGTGCAGAGCATCACAGGGCCCAAAGCACTTTAGGCTTCTGTTCCCCCCTTCACTTACAAGAAAACTAGGCTCTGAAAGAGCCAGCTTCAATAGTTACCATAATTGAGAACTACTAAAGGCATCTGCCATAGA